AGGACTGGACTGCTGCTGAGTGGTCCAAAGTAATGTTCTCTGATGAAAGTAAATGTTACATTTCCTTTGGAAATCAAAGTCCCAGAGTCTGGAGGAAGAGAGGTGAGGCACAGAATCCACGTTGCTTGAGGTCCAGTGTCAAATTTCCACAATCAGTGAAGGTTTGGGGTACCGTGTCATCTGCTGGTGTTGGTCCACTGTGTTTTCTGAGGTCCAAGGTCAACGCAGCCGTCTACCAGGAAGTTTTAGAGCACTTCATGCTTCCTGCTGCTGACCAACTTCATGGAGATGCAGATTTCATTTTCCAACACAGTTTGGCACCTGCACACAGTTCCAAAGCTACCAGTATCTGGTTTGAGGACCATGGTATCCCTGTTCTTAAATAGCCAGCAAACTCACCTGACCTTAACCCCATAGAAAATCTACGAGGTATTATGAAGAGGAAGATGTGATACATCAGACCCAACAATTCAGAAGAGCTGAAGGCCACTATCAGAGCAACCTGGGCTCTCATAACACCTGAGCAGTGCTCGGACTGATCGACTCCATGCCACGCTGCATTGCTGCAGTAATCCAGGCAAAACGAGTCCCAACTAAGTATTGAGTCCTGTACATGCTCATACTTTTCATGTTCATACTTTTCATATTTATACTTTTCACGTTCGTAATTTTCATGTCAATACTTTTCAGTTGGCCAATATTTCTAAAAATCATTTTTTTATTGGTCTTAAATAATATTCTAATTTTCTGAGATACTGAATTTGGGGTTTTCATTAGTTGTCAGTTATAATCATCAACATTAAAATAAATCAACTTTTGAAAAATATCAGTTTGTGTGTAATGAATGAATATAATACACAAGTTTCACTTTTTGAATGGAATTACTGAAATAAATCAACTTTTTCATGATATTCTAATTTTATGACCAGCACCTGTAGAGTCCTAATGACAACTAACTTGTGCTCCATCTGGTAACATGTTAGCTTTTTGTATGTGTACAACAAGTTTTGGCTGTCACCAGCAAAGTGGTGAAGGTGCTGCATAAGACTGAGCTTGTTGCAGCTCCACAGATCAAAGAAGTCTTTTGGATTAAAAAAAAATGATATAATGAAGAATCCATCCAAAGGACCTGACTCAAACTCGTTAAATTTATCTACCTGGATTATTGAGCATGCATTTGGATTTTACTGAAGGGGTGAACCAACATAAAACAGAGACAGTGGCATCAGGTATCAATTATCCAACAGCTGCGACGCAGCCTTGACTCTCCTCCTCAGGTGGTTTTGCAACCATTCATACCTTGAAAGATGTAATCAAAACACCTCCCATGCTGGTCAAGGCAGGCAAACAGCTCGAGCGGCAATGAGACAAACAAACCACAGAATAGACAGATGGGTCAGTGACTAAAATGACTTCAACATCCCATTAAGTGTGAATATGACCAGTTATAATCTATTTTAGGTACTTTGACCTCAGTCTCTGCCATCTGCCATGACATTGCCTTTTCTGTCATCAAACCTCAGATGAAGAATGACTGTCTTTGTTTGAGTCAGGCAAAGTGTTTTTCAAAGCATGTGGGTCATGCAAAAAGATTGGTCCTTGCTTTGAAAATGTAGCAGTTTCATATCCATAGTTGAGTCTGCTGGATTCCTTTAGAGGCATGCAAAACAACATCTTTGATTGTGTTGATCATCTCATGAGGTTTTCCAAGTGGGATTCTCAAAGAGTCAATTGTTTGCGCTGCTTTGACATGCCAAGCTTTTTCCCTCCTACAAGACTTGCAGCAGTAAATTTCGAAGGACAATTTAGGAATAAAACAGAGATTTCATGCTCAGAGTTCCGACTTCTCTATTTTGCACTGGTTTCCAGATTTGCATCTTTTGCTTTTTCCATTCAAGTGTTGTACTACATAGTTCCCAAATGATTGATTATAATAATGGTGTGGCAACTAGAAAGACAGGTCTGTACCAGCCTGCAGCAACACCCCTCCCAAAAAACGAAATCAAATCATTCTTATGCGCTGATTTATGTACAAGAAGCATTACAGCAACATGATTTAAATAGCACTAAAACATCAGCGCAACTAAATAACTCTTTTAGTTCGTACTGCGTCATGCTGAAGCGTTTTTTAAGGTTCTGCTGACGAAATTCCTTCCAAAGGTGTAGCTTCCTTCAGTGGAAAAGAATTTAGGTAAAAGTCTTGAGAGCATTCAATACAGTGGTATACTTGTCGGACCGGTGCTCCAGTGGGTGTGGACTTGGAGCAGAGAAGAGCCCAGTATGCACCGAGTGGGTTGGCTCAGAGGAGGGGTATAAGATGAGTTTCTTTCATTCCTCAGGACACACTGAGGAGTTATACAGCTGGGACGGTCCCGCTTATACAATTTAAACATTTTAAGGAGGAGAGGACGTGCAAGAGTCATCTTTGGACTGGGACTAGAATGGACGCAAAAAACATGGCTGAGAAATATGGTGAGTTGATGAGAGCGAGCTTACTCCCTCATTACTTACATTGAAGGATGTGCGTGATATCTTTAGTGGAAATTGGATGGGAATGAATTTATTATGTTCATATCATAAAAGAGAGTTTTTATAAGAAAAATTTCAGCTTGTGGAGTATTTAAAAAGTTAGCATGTTGAGAGCATGTTCACAATCTACAATGTGTTGTTCACGTCCTAAATTTTTCCTACTAGATCACAAGCTGAATGTTGTTCAGGAAGAGCGTAGCAGTTTTGAAAATGATGATGTCTCTTCCTTTTAGTTTATTTCCTTATAATAATAATAATCGATTGGATTTGTACCGCACTTTGCATTTTTCAATCGCAAAGTGCTACAAAATAAAAAGCTAAAAACAGCAGGATTAAAAATGCATTGAAACATTGTAAAAATGTGTCAGATAAGAATGTCTTCAGTCCTTTCTTAAAACTTTCTGTGGTCTGGGGTGTCCTTAGATGGTTGGGGAGGGTGCTACACAGATGAGGTGCAGCAGAGCAAAAGGCCCTGTCACCCACGGTGCACAGTTTTGTCTGGGGAGGGCGGAGCTGGTAAGAATTTGTGGAGGGATTTTTTTAATGTCTGAGCAGTTCTTTGAGGCAGTATGAAGCAGTGCCGTGGATGGATTGGTGGATGAGTTCATCAGAATCCTGCCTGCACTGTTCTGCACATACTGAAGTTTTTGAACGCGCTTGGATGGAGTTCCATAAAGAAGTGCATTGCAGTAATCCAGTTTTGAGGAAATGAAAGCACCAACAAGTTTTTCAGCATCGGAAAAAGAGAGCAATGGACGGAGTTTGGTGATGTTTTTGAGATGAAACGAGGAAGTCTTGCAAGCGTGTCTAATATGAAATGCAAATGTAAAATGAGAATCAAATCTTACAATTAGTCACTGTATAGTAAAAGGGAATATTGTGGCCTGAGAAGATGTGAAAGATATTGAGTGAGTCTGATGCGGGGTACCAACCAAAACAGCTTCTGTTTCTGATGTGTTTAATTAGAGAAATGTGGCATTCATCCAGGCTTTTACTTCCTCCTCATTGGGACAGTTATGTAAAAAAAAAAACAGCATCAACCTCGCATGTTTAGATAATTGATCATTTCCATGTTACCACTGGCACAAAACGTAGCTGCCAGGTTGTAACTGGATGTGGGCGTTTCCACCTTCTGCACACCTCCAACAGCTGCGGTGTCAATTATACGGTTAAACTGTGCTTATTTACAGTGTAAAGAATGACTATGCTGAACTTGGAGTCTTACCGAAACTTCAGGGTGAGGCTCAGGACAACATAATCAACAAAAACCAAACGATTTTTCCTCCTATTTTCTCTTAAACTAACTAAACGAACGGAACCAAAAATACAGGTATCTTACCTGATCTAAACTAATAAAAACAGGAGAAAAGCGACTTAACAAAAATGGCAGCTCACCCCTACAAGAACTCCTTACAAAACTAATTTCTCTGACAATCGATGGGCAGCATCATGCCAGCTGCTTGTTGGGATGTGCAGTGGATGGAGAGCCGCCATCATCTCCAACGCAGCTCCCTTTATTCAACACACCTCCAGGCAGGCAGCCAATCACCGTTCCATCTCCTCGGTGTCTTCAGCCGCACATCTGGACACTAATTTACACAAATAGGGATGCACACACACAAAAACTTATGACGACAGTCGTAGCACATCTGTAGTCCTGATGGCTGGTAACAAGGTGCATATTTATTTCAAATACAAGCAAAAACTATCCATCCATTATCTTCACCCGCTTCTTTATTTTCGGGGCATGGGGGGGTCACTGGTGCGCATATAAGCTATCGCTGTGCGAGAGGCGGGGGACCCCGGGCCACGATTTGAACCAGAGCAACCTGCTCGCTAAGAGGTGGCAGCTTTACCACCTGCGCCACAGTGCAGCCCAAACCAAAACCAATCCTAAATTAAAATATCCTCGAGCCAAAAGCGAAATTATCCCAATTATGATTCTAATTTAATAGCATTCGTAAGAATACCTAGTCAAATAAAATCTATTCCAACATTGCAGTCACGTGTTTAACCCCTGGATGCTGAAACACCTGGATTCAAGTGAACATGTCACCGTGCAATGTCGCAATCCTGCCACTAGGTGGTGCAATTTCACACCTCAAGAACGATTGAGTAACAGCTGAAGTTTTAAATGTAAAATAAATAAAAAAAAAGGGCGATCACACACAACAGATCTTATGCTCAAAATATTATTTTTCAAAACCTGGTATAACCCTTTTTTTTTTTTTTCGTTAAACACTCTGAGCTCATACAAGAGGATTAAAAGGTGCTTCCTAAACAGATAATACAATAAAAATGTAACTGAGGCTAAAAATCCTACATACAGACCTTCCTTGAACTGGAATGTGTGGGTTGTTTTAAAGTAAACACAACTCAATACATTGTCTGGCTGCTAGACTGGAGCAGGGCATATCTGGACCCGCCCCGTGAAGGGGGGAACTTCTTGGTCCTTGCTGCTTCTCGGAGCTCAGAATGAAAACACCGAGCGGATTTATTCAGGATATCTAGTCCAACATGTCCTGTCTAGGAAAGCTTCCAGTACGGACAAAATCCGAGGAGCAGCTTTTCCAGGAGCGCCTGAGAAAAGTGGCGCAGGAGAATGGAAGACGGCTGGGTGAGTCCACATCAAAGGCGGAGGGACACGCGCGCGTGCTTCGGCCGTTCTGCTATCAAAAGCCGAGGCGCACGCGCACATAATTAGGGCGAGAGAGCGCGTTAATGACACACATATAATGTGTTGTCAGCTGTTGGTGCTGTGTGGACACGTTTCTCGCCTGCAGCTTTGCATTCTTCCTGTTAGTCACGATGACCAACTCGAGTTTTACTGTTTTTTTAAATGAGTGTGGAAAAAAAAACTAACAACAACCCAGAACGGTTTTATTTAGTCGTCTTAAAAACAGAAGAAGACGGAAAATGTCGGTGACTTTAACAAAAATATTCAGCCACATGTTTTGTCATCTGTGTGAGAGGCTTTTCTTTTGTCATTCTAGTCCGTCTACTTTCTTTTAAAAGGTTGAAATCCTAAGAGTTTACTTCAAACAACGGCTAATCCAGAGCCATTACAATTAAAGTACACCTTAAAGTGACAGTTCAGGTCTTTTTAAATGGAGTTCTGTGGAAATGTTATGACTCTGTACTTCAGTTTGATTAAATGTGACCTGCTGGCAAAATGAGTCACAAGGAGGAGTCGTCAGTATTTTCTAACTCCGAGCTGTGGTAGCTCGTTGGTCGGTGTGCCTTGTTATCTTGAGGCTGCAGGTTTGAGCCCAGGTTGCGTCAAGAAGGGCGTTTGGCGTAAAGGAGTTAAAAAGAATTTCACATGGGTTCACTCACTGTGGTGACTCCTGCAGAAGGAAGCAGCCAAAAGGAAAACATTGTTTTCAAATGCTCCATTTGTTAGATAGTGTCTATTAGATGATCATTCATTCAACTTTTATTCAGCTTTTATTTATACCCGAGTTGCATCAAATGCCATGTTAATAAAAACCGTATTGTATCAAATGTTGTGTTAATAACGCCCAAGTTATATCAAATATCGTCTTAATAAAGCCCAAATTGTATAAATATTGTGTTAATAAAGCCAGAATTGTATAAATATTATGTTAATAAAACCCGAATTGTATCAAATGTTAAGTTAATACAGCCCGAATTGTATCAAATATTGTGTTAAAAACCCCTGAATTGTATCAAATATTGTGTTAATAAAACCCAAATTGTATCAAATGTTATGTTAATAAAGCCCGGATTGTATCAAATATTGTGTTAATAAAACCCAAATTGTATCAAATATTGTGTTAATAAAACCCAAATTGTATCAAATATTGTGTTAATAAAACCCGAATTGTATCAAATATTGTGTTAATAAAACCCGAATTGTATCAAATATTGTGTTAAAAAAGAAAACGAATTGTATCAAATATTGTGTTAATAAAACCCAAATTATATCAAATGTTATGTTAATAAAGCCCGGATTGTATCAAATATTGTGTTAATAAAACCCGAATTGTATCAAATATTGTGTTAAAAACCCCCGAATTGTATCAAATATTGTGTTAATAAACCCAAATTGTATCAAATGTTATGTTAATAAAGCCCGAATTGTATCAAATATTGTGTTAATAAAGCCCAAATTGTATCAAATGTTATGTTAATAAAGCCCGAATTGTATCAAATATTATGTTAATAAAACCCGAATTGTATCAAATATTGTGTTAATAAAACCTGAATTGTATCAAATATTGTGTTAATAAAACCCGAATTGTATCAAATATTGTGTTAAAAACCCCCGAATTGTATTTAATATTGTGTTAATAAAACCCGAATTGTATTAAATGTCATGTTAATA